CTGCCTTCTCTGCAGTTTCTCGCTGCAAGTTGTTTAGGGCCAAATTGTCATAGTCAGTGTCTAATAGGGCCAGGAAGCACCATTTACACTATAGGAATCTGGATGTTAAATACCCACCGTCAGCTGGCTATTTCTTGAGAACAAAAGAAAACAAGATGTCCCATGTAGTGGTGAGGTTGGAGGAAACTAGAAGTGGTTAAAAGACATTCTGCTCTCTGATCTCATTTTACCAAGTGGGTAGGAAGTCTTCCCATCATCCCCTCTTTTTCTCTGACCAAAGCAATAAACGACATTAGACCTCTTCATCTGATTTCACACTAGCGACAGTCTGTTGACACACAGGATCCATGTTCAGAAACCCAAGTTCCAATTCTGAGAAGCTACACAAATCTATGCCCCTGCCCACCCACTCCCTCTCTGTAACTGTTGTCACCTTCACACAGTGATGAACCTCAGATGCCGACTCATAGCCCTGCTGAGTGAGATCCTCTGTGTCGAGATCAGACATGTTATGAGGACACAGAAGCCTCATTGCCCTCTCACCCCACTGCCCTCTCACCCCATTGCCCTCTCACCCCATTGCCCTCTCACCTGGCCACACAGCCACTTCTCCAAGTAATCATCAGGCCGAGCAGACACTTACCTGCAAGCTATTTTTCTTAAGATTAGGCCTCACCTGTGGTTTCTGCAGAATGACCCTCTGCCTGAATATGGTCATTGTGACTGAGGATAACGAAGAGCTAAGGTCTTGCTTGCTTGTTGGTGGTAATTCATTTTGTTGATTGAAAAAGAAAAGAACAAAAAAAGCTTGGTTTGGAGGATCTCTCAGGCTGGCAGACTGTGAGAATGCTATCAAAGGTGAGCAGGCAGCATACCTGACTGATGAATTGATAGTCATGACTGCCAGAAAGTGTGGGAGTGGTAGCTGGCAAGAGGCACTCTTTTTTTTTTTTTTTTTTTTTTGGTGAGAGGGAGTTGCCTCACTCCCTCCACACCGGCATCAACCACCTGGCAGGAGTGTGCAGGAATAGCGCATAGAAGAAAAATGTGGGGGTGCGGTGTGTGAACGCAGCACAGTGGATTTGTATCAATGAAGCGGAGAACCAGTTTTCCTTTCTATTTTATTTAAATAGCTTTATTGAGGTATATCTCTCCAGAGAACAGAGGAAAATTTGCCTGGAGAATCTGAGTGTCCACTCTTCCCTCAAAGGACAACTTAAAAAGGAGACTTTCCAGGAGTCCAGCCAAGAGTCTGCTAGGGCACCAGCAGCGCCCCGGTGCATTGGCTTGGACAGGGCTACTCTCAGCTAAGTGGGAGCTGCCACACTTCAGGTTGTGGCTTGTCATGTTGCCCTATTATCCAAAACCCTTCCCCCAAGTTTTCTACCCTCTAAAGGGACATGTCAGGAGCTGTCTCAGGGATATTCCTTGGAATTTCAAATAAGACCCAGCTCTAGGGCAAGTTTAGAATCTCGTGGGCTATGTTTGGCCCAGATACCATCCCTTTGGCCACTTTGGATGGTGCTATTATTTTTAATTGGTGGGGCAATTATTATATCCCTTTGCATAGCCTTTACATGGAGAGTCTTAAAGATCTTTGCATCCATTCCATTCCATCACAGGCCTTTTAGCAATGACCATTCTCTTGCATTCCATACTAGAAAAACAAAATTCTTGCTGAGGCAAACTAACTCCCTTCAACCAAGTAAAGGACACCATTTGGGGAGGAAAGCACATACCTATTCACCTGGGATGACCTTACCTCACATCTGCCCATTATACACCAATACTTTCCTGTTCTGAGCCAACCCCCTGGGTCCCAAGCAATTCTCTTAGAGAATTGGATTTTATTTTGTTTTTCTGTCTCTAGCTATTTCCTGCTTTATTATTCAACAGCCTAAATTTAGCTCCACACTCCAACTTTACAGCCCAGATTTCCAATGTGCCATGAAAGCAAAAGTAACTGTGAGTGGGAGGCATTAGAGAGGTACTGGGGGTTGGGGGGAAGGGAGGCACATGAGGGCCAGTAGGGAGGAGAAGAAGTCATCATATTAGCAGAGCTGGATTCTGACATCTGAGAGGCTTCCCGCAGCACAAAACAGGCCCCAGGACCACAGAATCCCTCTAACTCACCTGAAGGGAGGTACAGTGCTGCCTGCCATGAAATAAGTAATCGGTTCTTCCCTTCCTATATCCTATAATGTGTTGGCACAATGCATAGTACTTGCTAACCACTCAAGAAAAAAAAGAGCCACTCACTCTGATTAACTGTCAGAACTAATTCTCATCCATGTTATTATACAATAAAGAGAAAAAAGGAAATCCAAGGAAACTGTACTTAAGTCCAGTACCTAATCAGGTTTTTTTCCCTTTCATCTGTTTCATACAAAAACTGCCTGGAATCACTGGTGTGAGCCATTAGGTTCCTCTCTTCAAGTGTTAATTAATTAAATGTGATATTTTAAAATATGCACGCCTCTTTCCAGGTAGAACAACCCAAGCTCTTTGTAAATTGCTCAATGCTCATTAGTCCCCGCCCCCGCCCCAGCAGTTCTACTTCATTGCCTTGTACCTTCTATTCCCCTGTTGGGCCACAACTCCAGCAGCAATAAGTATAGAGTAATTATTTCTGCCAGAAATGTTTCCCCTGAAAGGGGCTTGCCTTATTTTGGTTGTATGTGTGTGCTTGAAAGAAAGGCATGTTATAATATGAGGCCTCTTTGTTTTCCCTCTTTTAATACCCGCTGGTTCTCTAAGATGTCATTGGCAAACACAACAGCATTTGCTTTTGTTCCCTTTATAAATATTTTCCACTTGAGCCCTATTTCTTACTTACAACTGCTAAGTGTCTTGCTATGAAAAGCAACTGTTCCAAAGCAGTAGACTGAATGAACACAGCCTGTGTGGTTTTGATTTAGGAAACATTCAGCTTTTGGTCTGAAAAATGCCCTGGAATCAGAGCAGTTTATAGTCTCTTGGATTCTTGAAGGCAACTCAAATGGTAGGTATGTGTGTGAAAGGTGGGAGCTGGGGGCAGATGGGGAGACTTGGAATATCCAATTGATTTGTCATGTCTATTGCAATCATGCAATTATTCATTCAACAACAATTGCTGAATGCCTACTAAGTGTTTGCTACTCCTGGTCAAGTAATCCCCAAAAGGTGATCATTGAATCCAAGTAGAAAGCTTGTGTTAGACACTATGTTATGGAGGGCAAGAGACCAGACTTCATCATTGTCACAATTTATGTAAGATATAAGCCCTATCCAGATATCTGGAGACATTGAACATTTACCTATCTTGAAAAAAAGCTTACCAGAAGATGCTTACATAATTAAGAGTTTTTTAAAGGAAAAATAAATAAAATTTTATATATGTCAACAGACTGCCGGGAGCCAGTAATCCTTGCTGCTTGACACAGTCACTGCAAGGAAGAAACATCTGCACAGCTTATGTTTCAAGGGACCTGGCGTATATGGCATATGTTTGCTTCCCCTCTTAACACGCTATGTGTTTTAAAAAGGACCACCTCCCCGAGAAAGGTTGTTTCCCTAGGTGAGGATTTTCCCCTGGAGTTAGGGAGGGAATAAAACCCCTTAACTAAGTGCCAGGGGGGTAGTTAATCACTTTAACTAGGAACAATCACGCTTAAACTACATAATCTTTACTTAGGATAATCTCCTTCAGTTACTTCCTTGTAGCTTAATAGAACAATAGAGTAACCTTGGAATGGAGATAAGAAACACCCTAACCTTTGGAATAACGATTGATAGGATTGGAATTAACTGGTATAAATACAGATGTAACAAGACAACAGGACACAGAACTTAGATGAAGATCCAGAACTTCGCTGGAGATCCTAACCAGAATTTGGCTAGAGATCCTGGCTAGGCTGCTGATCAACTGAACGCTGTCTCCGTGTCATTCCTTCTTCGCCGACTCCGTCCACACCTTTGGGGACCCCTGGACCTGCTGGGATTGGACCCCAGCAACAGACATCACATTATCGCTTCTCACTCCAATAAGACCCTAGTCTGTTTTACATTGTGCCTGGCTTTTTTTTTTTTTTTTTTTTTTTTTTTGCTAGAATTCATTGTAATAAGATGCTTGAAAAGGTTCTTTCTGTCCAGGTTCAGATCCAACAAAACTAATCCTACATTAAGCTATGACAAGAAGACAGACAATTGGGAATCAGAGGCATGAGTACATCCTCAAGATTCTGTCTTCTCCATCTGATAAATGTGCCCCCCACTCTCCAGTTTTAATTTGATCACATCACTCATTTATCTAATCCTTTACCTTTACTACTGACTTGATAACTTCTAGTAAATTTCATGGCTAGAATAGGGAGAGAGAGATATAATTCATTCTGAGGTTGAAATCTGTTTCCATAATCATCTCTTCTGCTCTTTTCTACACGCTGTTTCAAAGTGAGCTTTCTAAAATACAGGTCAAGTCATATATCTCTTGTTTTAAAACCACCAATTGTTCCACATTGCTTACATAATAAACTCCTTACCTTAATAAATGTTTTTCAAAACAAAGATGCTTTTCAGAGTAGAGGTTTGCTGGAACAAAATGATCATTACTGTGGAGATGCTGATGCCACTGGTCCCAGAAGCAGAACTAGAAATTAAAAGCCAGAGAGTTAATCTTTAGATTAACATAGAAGATTTGGAACATTTAGAGACTCATAATGGAAAATCCAAGGGGTGCAATGAGTTTTGAACAGTGTAACAGACACTTTTGATTTGGATTCTTACAGGCCAAGTTGGACTAGAGTCAGACTGTGGTTAAAGGTATTATATTTGTTCTCGAACAGAAAAGTGAAATAATGTATGTGGGACTTAAACTCATACAATTCATCAAATCAAATAAAGATGAGAAAGATGACACTAAAATTATCACACACTTGTCTAACAATAGGGTTATATAAGTGGCCTAAATCATGCCATAAATCCCAGATGTTTAGCCAAGGAAAAAGAGAGGAATTGCATCTGTGTATAAGGTTAAGTTTCATTTAGACCCAGGGGATTCAAGATGGGAGACGGAAACAAATCATTTTCTCAAGAAGAGTCTGGATTTCTGAGTCTCAATGTTAGAACCAAACAGGTTAAGTTTGGGGGATATAATCTTTTTCCAAAGGTATCATTTATTTGCAGTAGGACCTGTGACTCTTAATCAACTGCCTCAGGTTTCTAGAACATGAATGAGCATCCGTTGAACAGAATAACTAATTAATGAAATTGTTGGCATTGAAGGGCAGATGCTGGGAGGGGGATGAGGTGCATCTTGGATTACTAGACTTTCCCAGTCTTTGAAATCCTGTAATTTGGTTTCCTGACCACTCTTATGGGAAATTGGGAAGGATGGAAGGTGAAAAGAATCCAGAATTTGAATAATGGCATCTTAAAGACAAGCTCTGAGAGGCCTATTCACTCCTCCTTGTCGGAGTGGCTTAGCGGGTAGGGTATTGAAATAAGAAGAAGATTTCCTCCATATTATTCTGGGGGTCTTTATAGTTTTCTCCTCTGTAGGGCGCGGCTATAGGGTTAAGCCTCCGACTGACCTGTTGGCAAAGCCACAAACAAGACCCAGCTTAGAGGGCACAGACCTTTTAGCATAATTAGGCTGGACGTTATGACTCTCCCTAAATCTTATCTGGGAAGCTAATGGGCTGAGAGAGATGTGGCAAGTGCTGTCAAAACAAGTGAAACTCACAAGAACATTGTAACTATGGTGACCACTACCTTGTTTATCTCTGGCTATAAAATAAAGGCTCAGCTTGCCTCTGGATCTCTTTCTGTGGCCTCAGCCAGGCACAGGGAGATTCACCTAGCTTATTCTCTTTGTCTGTC